AAAGTCCTCACCATTGCTCATTTAAAGGAAATTAATATTAAATAAAAATGTGGGAGCAACAGATGAAATATGCTTCCCAGGCAGCAGGTTCATACAGGCAATCTTAAAATTATAAGTTTCATTCTTTTACGGTGTCTCAAAAATGACTACTTTCACAATAGTATATATTAGGGGTTGAATTTTGTCCCACAAAAAGTTTTATGTTGAAGTCCTAACTCCTGGCAGCTCAAGATGTGACCTTATTTGCAAATAAGGCTTGTTGTAGACATAGTACACTAAGGTGAGGCCAGCTGTGGTGGCTCATGCCTGTAATCCCAGCACTTTGAGAGGCTGGAGCGGGTTGATCGCTTGAGCCCAGGAGTTTGAGACCAGCTTTGGGCAATGTGGCAAACCCCATCTTTACAAAAAATGCAAAAATTAGCCAGGTGTGGTGATGCGCACTTGTAGTCCCAGCTACTCAGGAGGATCAGGTGGGAGGATCCCTTGAGGCCAGGAGGTGGAGGCTACAATAAGCCTTGATCATGCCACCACACTACAGCCTGAGCAACCAGGCAAGACCCTGTCTCAAAAAATAAATACATAGGCAAACAAAGATGAGATTATTAGATGGGTCCTAATCTATGATGCATCCTTATGAACAAGGGAAATTTGAACACAGAGACATGCATAGAGGGAAGGTGATGTGAAGATGAAGGCAGAGATCCAGGTGATGCTTCTATGTACCAAAACACCAATGATTACCAGCAAACCATCAGAAGCTAGGGGACAGGCATGGAGCAGATTCTCTCCCACAGCCCTGGAAAGGAACTTATCCTACCAACACCTTGATCTTAGACTTCTTGCCTCTAGAGCTATGAGACAATAAATTTCTATTGTTTCAGTCACCTGGTTTGTGGTGAGCCCTAGCACACTGAAAGAGCACATACACAAGAATAAATCATACTGCAATTGATCATAATAAAAAGGGATCGAGTCAGGGCATGGTTATTTTCCTTCCTGACTAAAGATGCTAATAATGACTAACAGCCTTTTGGGAGATGCTTAAAGAAGGTGTAATAACATTTGGTGTTAGCAAGGGAACCATTTATGTACTGCTGTGAGCAACCTTGCTTCAGCGGCACTTCATTAGAATGAAAAAAATGTTTCTTCCCCTTAATATTTTAATATACTGCTTTACTAGGGAGTAAACTAGGCCCAAGAAGTATAATCATTACCAGTTCTGCTGACAAGGGAGTAAAGGCAAAGTTTGCTCTTTGATACCCATAAATTCTCTTCTGATGATCAAATCAACAAGCAACAGAAGGGCCTCAAAGGATCAGGTGTAACAAGAATCAACAAAGTGGATTCCAAAATGTCACGTGCATTATCCCACAATATGCATGCTACTTTCAGACCTGGAATGGCTTGGAGGCCATGTGAAATGAGACTGCAGTTACCTTTTCAAACAGTCCTCTCCGTAGGAAGGGCTGCCCCTCTGGCGATGCGTCTGATAAGGCCATTTCTACACACCGCCCCTCAAAATTTCATCCATTCTGACTTCCTATACTGAGCAAAGCATTGAAACTCTGTATGATTGCAATTCATTGCTTTTTATGTATTTCATTCAGTAACTTATATAACCTTGATTAGGTTACAATGAACATTTGTGAGATAACTACAATAAAAATGAGAGTCAAAGGGTTTAGAAGCTTTCATCTTATCAGAGTGCCAGAGAACGTGTCTATCAAAGGCAGTGGTTTTTACCCCCCAAACTCAATGGTTCCCTTTGAAGAGCATGCTGCATAAGTTACAGGGAGATAAATCTTTCTAATTTTCTGAATATTTCCACCCAAGAAAATTAATTGGGTCATCAGTCGAATAAAGGTTGTGACTTATACAACGGTGGAATCACACACTGCAAAAAACCATTGAAAATGCAAGGAATCTTCATTCCCTTATGCCTGACATGCTGCAGACCCTACAGTTGATTTCTTCCAGTGACAACAGCTAGCTAACTACTTTGCAAAGCCTCCCACTCCATTTTTGGAGAGCAGGATAAGCATACTGTCTATAAATATATGGGCCCTTTTTTATCTGCCTGATGTCATCCTTCAGCCACGGTTATCTGAAAGAAACTGGTTGGGAAAGGAAAAAGTAGGCTGCCTTGAATGCCTAGCTAAGTGGCTTTACTTTCCTAGCTGATTTCTTTAAATCCAAAAGGAAAAAAAAAACCAGATAACAAAGGGACAAACTTCAAACACCAGTAAGTATCAACTAAATACTTGCATTTACTAAGCATCTACTATGTGACCATCACTGTGACAGAAAAGTGGAGATAGAAGTCAAAGATACCATCAGTACCCTCAATTAATTTAAAATACTCTCTGACCATCATTAAATATATTAAACAAGTTCAAAATCAATGGAAGATATGATGTAGAGAGTGAAGTCCTAAGTTGGTCACCTAGACTACAGTTAGTAACAGTTCAGAGGGTGGTAATAAAAAATGGTGAATTTGTAAGTGTCATCATGACGTGCCTTGGTTGACCACGCTTTGGAGGATGAGCAAGATTTGGAAAGTCATAGGAACTAAGAAGGGTTCTTTGAGAATATACCTAGATTCAAAGAGCAATTATACAGCTGTCCCAAAACCCACAAAATAAGATTGTGAGGATTCTGTCAATATTTTTTTTAAGTGAGGTAAATGGGAATGAGAAAGGAATGCTGAAATATAATCAAATATTAGTAGGGATTGGGAAAATATCACTGCATCACAGAGCAATCTACAGAGAAAATTAAACTCTGACATTAACTTGGGAATTTTTCCAGCAGACAGAATGGATAACTGATTTGCATTTTTTTCTTTCAAGGAAGATACAGGATGTTACTAAGAAGTTGTTGTTGTTGTTGTTTTTTTTTTCCTGCTTCTCAGTCATCTTTAATATCCCCATTATACAAAAGGGAAAAGTTCTCATTCAGCCGATAGGAGTTTAAACTGCGTACCCTTCTTTATTATATATAAATGTTCTCCTTTCCTTCCAGATCACATAACATTTCCAGAGATGTACTTAACCACCTGATTAATTACTGGACCTCTGTAAATTGCTTTCAAGACTAAGATGATTATTTTATCACTTATTCTGTTTGATAGGCATTTACAGTTTAATACATCTGACAACGTCATTTGCATACCCCTATAATATAAATGGAGGTACGTTAAAGCTACGGTAAGTCTATAATATTAATAGCCTTAAAATAATGTGCCAACCATAGACAGTTCCCTAAGCAATTACAAGATGTTCTATGTTAATTTAGGAAGGAATTCCAAACAAGGCATTTAAAACCTAATAAGCTGCCATTAAATGAAGGAAGACAGAAGAGGGGGGTGAAGAGAAAGAAAACCCTAAGGCTTGAACTAGTAGAAATGATTCTCAGAGCTACTGACCCTTGCAAGAGTCACGTTTTTCTTAGGTTTTTAGGCACAAAACAGAGTTCTAATTGATGATGATTATATAGTTACAACATCACAAATTGAATATATTTCTTGAATTGATTCACATCAATATCTAATCACATGGAGCATTTATGAGTCTGAAAGTCCATAGAAACAGCTGAGCCAATTTATCAAGCACAAACAATGAGAAAATGCTCTGTAAACCGTGAGGTGCCACAAAATGTCACAGTCTGCCTCTTAGTTTTCATACAGTTCTATAAGCTAAATTACAGTGTTTATCAACTGGAAATAAATTGAGCAAAAAGATCACAATTAAAAAAAAAAAAAAGCACCTGGCTTGCTCTTGGGTTTTCTGAGGATGTAGACACCAATACGAGTGCCTGCTATTCCGGAGAAATATACACACTGATATAGTCACCATCACCATGAGAAAAAAATAATAAACCAGGTCCAATGGCTCACACCAGTAATCCCAGCACTTTGGGAGGCCGAGGCGGATCATTTGAAGCCAGGAGTTCAAGACCAGCTTGACCAACATGGTAAAACCCCGTTTCTACTAAAATACAAAAATCAGCTAAGCATAGTGGCCGGTGCCTGTAATCCCAGCTACTCAGGAGGCTGAAGCAGGAGAATCGCTTGAACCCAGGAGGCAGAGGTTGCGGTGAGCCGAGATGATGCCACTGCACTCCAGCCTGGACGACATAGCAAGCCTCCATCTCAAAAAGAATTAAAACAAAAACAAAAACAAAAACAAAAACACAAAAAGAATAGCAACATACAATTCTATAAACCAAAAGACAAATTCCTATAGAGTATATTTTATCTCCATAAACTCGAGAGTTAAGTGCTTCACCCATAGGTAGATAACCTGCGAAAGATCAACCAAAGGTAGATAACCGATAAAGACAATACAGCAGTAAAGAAATACACAGACTTCTACAAAAGCACAAATGTGCCTCTGTAAAATATAGTTCCTATTAGTTAGGTTAATTAAGATTAACATACAAGTCACTGAAAGCCCCCAAAGCAGACAAAAGATAATTCACCAAGGAAACATACAAAGACAAGAGTAGCATTCACTCTGAGTCATTCAGTTAACAGATTGGAAGGAGGTTCCTTATTAATACTTGAGTTGCTGCCATTGATTACCAAAATGGCATGCATCCAGACAGTTTTCAAGATCAAAAGACAACTTTTTTTTTTTTAAAGTTCTATGAACAATACAGGGTGGTACACAGAAAATAAGGAAGTGAACCTAATCACACATATCATAATTGCTATTAAACAGGTTAAATATATACCCACATCTGAATGTTTCTATTCTAGACTTTGTTTTACTGAGATGAATGAAAGAGCATTCATCTTGAGAACCCAGGTTTGGCATTTTTCATTGTTGAGCATAGTGTTTTCACCCAAATAATAACCTGCCAGTATATTCCAAGTCAAATGTATCAGAAAAGTGCAAAGGACTACCACGGGCTTATCCAATGGAAAGAGTTATCTTCCAGTTGCTCAGATTGCAATTGTGAGAAATAGATCATTGCTGAAAACGCATTCCCAGCCTTACCTCGAGGTTCATGCTCACAGAACTAATGGCCACTTTTATTTCTCCATCTGACAATTCCTTTAGATCTTTTAACATTGTCTGTTCAATACTTAAACCTGTGGATGACAGGAAAAAAACACCATGTCATACTTGAGGGATTTTTTTTTTTTGTAATATCAAGGGATATTAAATTTACTCTGCAAATTTCATTCTTTTCCCCTCAAATGTCACTTTTATCCACAATAAATACACATACATTAAGGCAATAATCACCTCACGTTTGCATCAGTTAGGATCCCAATAGAAAAAATGCACCTCTTTTGCTGCAAAAGCAGACGTGTTAATGGCAGGACACTCACAGAGATGTAGGCTGGATGAGAAAGTGAATAAAAGATGATGAGGCATCCAGAGATTAGCAAAGGAACACGGGAAAAAAAAACAGATCTGGAACTGGAGAAGACTGGCTGCAGAAACTACCACCTGAGCAGGAAGAAGGCAGGGAAGATCACCACAGGCTCATTCTTCTCCTTGCCCCCATCCCTACCTGTTCCTAACTCTTCCTGTTGGTCAAACTCAACCAGAAGCCAGTGTAGTGGGAGCCCACAAGATTAAATACTTAGGGGTCCACCTCAGGAGGCCCAGATCAGACAAGGGCAGGGATTGAATGGGTGGAAGTGGACCAATGAAGAAAAATCAGCATCACCATGCAAACTAGTTAAATAATACCAAACACAGCCAAAATCGGCTTTCAGGCTGCATTTAGGTAAGCCCCCATGTTTTCTAGAATAATTTCATTCAAAATGCACTTTATACATGTGACTCATAAGACTATCATAATTAAGTTGCTTACCCTCATAATAGGCTCTGACAATGGAGTTATCAAATTCCCTAATTAATGGGTGTAATAATCCAGAATGGATAAATTATCCAGAACTGCATAGTTGTAGTCTGTTGACCAATGGGACTCAATGAAATCTATCACAGTAAAGCGGCAAAGGATCTGGCTTGACACTTAATTCTCACACTACATTATTACATCTGATTAGGCCTACTCTCTTGGGAAGAATATCTGTAGTAAAGCCTAGCAAAGGCTGAAATTTTCCCAGAGGTATATTAAGACATCAGAGACCACTGCTTGCTCTACCCAGTCAGAACACTCTGTCAATCACAGTAGCATGGGGAAACAGACTGGCACTAAAGATCTTTCTTTGACTCGAAGATTGAAAAGCCGACAATCTTTCACAATGCATAAAATGATTTATAGAAGACATTGTGACATTAAAAGTTGGGTGTCATTGTGAAAATGAATGACAAAATGCATCTGCTTTTACAGCATACACACACGTACACTCACACCTATGTATGCATAACAGAAGGTGCAAGGGACACTGTGAGGGCCCCACCCCATTTCCTCAGACGTTCCCATCCCAGTGCACCCAGCAGGATGCTCTACCACCAGCACCTGTCTCTCTTTTCCTGAGGGCTTTCCGTGGCCACCAGAGCCTGTGCTGGAGAATTAAGGCCCCTGGGACTGAGTAGCCTACAGTCTTCCAGTGGTCTGCCGGTAAATGTTTAAGGGCCAGTAACAAAATCTGATTTGTAGTGTTCGTCAGTTTCAGGGCTCTAAACACCACTACCATGGCTGATCTCAAGTTACCAATCCAACATCACCCAACTCAAAACATTCCTGAATATTTAACCATCAGCTCCTAGAGCCCAGATGAGCACACCACTGTACCCCTCAGGTGGGACAACCCTGATGTACAAGTTTACACTCTCTCATGGTCTCCGGTGGAATTAAGCTCTGGTTTCCCATGAAGCCAACTTGCTTGATGAAGCACTCTATGCCCCTATCAGTGTTGAGTAGAACCAACTCCCACATAAGCCACTTTGCCTCAGGCTCTGCCCCTCCTGCCCCAGGAGCAGGAGTTGGGGTGGGGTGGTTGGGGGTGAGGGGTGGGTTCCTGAACTAAGAGAGAGAGAGTTATTTAATTTAGTGTTTACATCTCAAAGACAGATAAACTGGGTTTAATCCTGGCCTGGTCACCTGCTACTTTTGTTTGATGTTGGGAAAGCAATGACTACTTCCTGGTCTTTAGTGTCCTCCCCCATCTGGACACTGGGACAGCAGAGCACTGACTCTTAGGGTTGTCATGAGGATTCAGCAAGATCATCCTTGCCAAGTGATGCCATCAAAACCTTGTATACAGTAGGGATCCAGTGAATTACAGCCATTTTTCTTTTTCTTTTTTTTTTTTGGAGACGGAGTTTCTCTCTTGTTACCCAGGCTGGAGTGCAATGGCGTGATCTCGGCTCACTGCAACCTCTGCCTCCCGGGTTTAAGCAATTCTCCTGCCTCAGCCTCCCGAGTAGCTGGGACTACAGGCACGCACCACCATGCCCAGCTAATTTTTGTATTTTTAGTAGAGACGGGGTTTCATCTTGTTGACCAGGATGGTCTCGATCTCTTGACCTCGTGATCCACCCGCCTCGGCCTCCCAAAGTGCTAGGATTACCTGCGTGAGCCACCGCGCCCAGCCTACGGCCATTTTTCATTGTAAAACAGTTGATCTAGGAAATTCACTGTCCTGACAAAGCCTAGACTCTGACAACATCTTCATCAACGTAGCCATCTTCTCTCTCATGTCCTTCTCAAACTAATTGATTTATGAAATCCCACTGTGTTTGGCATTGCTCCTGCCATCTCCTCAAAATAGAGTCCCGTCAGCACAAGGATTGCATGTAATGATGCACCTGGGATGTGCACTGGACACGTGAATTAACCATACATCCAGACGCGAAGGCTTCAGAGGAGAGGCCATAGCACAAGCTGTCTGTTTCCAGGGAGACAACATTATGTGCCTGAAAACCTTCCACCAGCACAAGTAATAGGAAGAAGGTGAATCACATTCAATGTACCTTCTCAGCCAGGCATAGTGGCTCACACCTGTAATCCCAGCACTTTGGGAGGCTGAGGCAAGTGGATGACTTGAGGCTGGGAGTTCGGGACCAGCCTGGCCAACATGGTCAAATCCCATCTCTACCAAAAATACAAAACTAGCTGGGCAAGGTGATGCACGCCTGTAGTCTTAGCTACTCGGGAGACTAAGGCAAGAGAATTGCTTGAACTCAGGAGGTGGAGGTTGCAGTGAGCCAAGATTGTGCTACTGCACTCCAGTCTGGGGGATAGAGGGAGACTCTGTATGAAAAACAAACAAATATACCTTCTCAGGCCTGATGACACTCCATGCCACAAACCATCCTTACTCAGGAGGGACGAGAGAGCTGGGGATGGAATCACTCACCCTGAGCATTGAACTGGGTCTCCTGCAGGACGCTGATGATGTCCTCTCTTGGAGGCAAGTTAGGAAATTTTTCTTCCAGGATGGAAAGAATTTCCTCCTGCTTCTCTGAGATCTTCTCTGATTCCATGGTCATCCACTTGAAAAGAATGCTACCTGAAAGGTTTGAATAAACATGCGCTTAAAGCTTTCCAGCCACGCCAGAACAGGGGCCAGGAAAATCAGTGTTTCTTAGCCTCTCAATCTAAGCTTTTCATTCCTGTCTCTCCCCTGGACCGGGGTCCTCCACAGGTAACATTCCAGAGGCAATTTTTAGAAAACAATTGAACCATCATCCAGCTTCATTATTCTCCAAGCACTGCTCTCTACAAATGAACTCACCATAGCATACTCTATGGTACAGAATTCGTGGATAAAGGGAAAGCATGTGTAGCTTCTACCTACCCCACCCAAACACACGAGAAGATATACATTGGTCTTAAGTGATTTCAAAATGGAAGTTAGTGGTAAACTATTTAAAAGTGTAATCAGCCTTATTTTCTCTAAGGGACCACAGAGAATACTATTCCCACTTATTATATGATGAATTTTAATGAATCTATAATCCCACTGTCAACAGCTGAAGAATCGGACAAGGTGGTTAACCTGACATCCATTTCGGATCTTCCAAGCATCATCACAGTTTTAATATCATTTATAATGATCTAATTATAAGGACTCACAAGCCGAGTCTAAATTACAGATTTAAATTACAAAGTAACTTTGCAGTATGAAGGACCTTGCACAAACTCTGGTGACCTCTGTGGATAATCTCATCTTGAAAGGGAGGAGTTACTGCCCCATATGTACTCTTACCCTTCCCTGCATTCCAAGCCTGTGTTAACAGGGTCACCATGGGAGAGAGAAGTTTTGCTTAATGATGAATGATTAAACTCTCTAAAAATCCCCAAATCTATTGAATAATCAAAGTACTACCACCTGTGTTTCCGTGTAGCCTTAATGTAAGTCATGGCAGAGGGAAAATGGAAAATAAATAAAAGAGGGAAGAAGGTAAAAGGGGAATTAAAGTATTCAGTGACGGAAAACTATGGTGCCCAATCCAAACATATGGCCTGAGACCTACAGAATCTAGAGGTGAGGCCTACGTTTGCCATCAAACATGCTGGAATGTCCCAAGCAAGTCACGTGGCCTCTGTTTCCAGTTCTCTCTCTCTCTCTCTTTTTTTTTTTAATACAGAGAGTTTCACTCTTATCACCCAGGCTAGAGTGCAATGGCGATGTTCTTGGCTCATTGCAAACTCCACCTCTTGGGTTCAAGCAATTCTCCTGCCTCAGCCTCCCGAGTAGCTGGGATTACAGGCGTGCACCACCGTGCTTGGCCAGGTTTCCCATTTTTAAAACAGGAATAATACTGCTTTCCCAGCTCACAGTGTTATACTAAGAGTCAAATGAACGTAAGCATCATAATGAAAAGTAAATATTGCCAAATATATTTAAAGCATTTCATCAATTCATTATCTCACAAACAATTACTGAGTGCCTTTTCTGGGCCAGGCCTTATGCTCGATGCTAAACGATTCAAAAGTAGACTAGAGATAACCTTGCCTCTTGAAGCTCACAGGAAATTAGAGGTTACAAATAAGTAAGCACAAACATTGTCAGTAACAGAGAATAAGAAATATTGCTGGGGAAAAACACAGTACTCAGAATCCAGGCCACAGTTAGGGTTCAGAGAAGTCTTCCTAGAGACAGTTAACCTAAGTTGAGCTTGAAGGACAACTAAGGACTGAAGGCAAAGGCAAGAGAGAGATGATGATCCAGAAAGAGCCTGTGCAAAGGCACTGGGGTGGGAGAGAATTGGGCCAGTTCAAGGAATAAAAAGCAATTAATCACAGGTAGACAGTAAGATTTTTAGCAGGGGAAATGTTGAAAAATTAGATTGGAGAGATAAGAGGCCAGACCATGAAGGGCCTTACAAGCTGCCTTAAAGTTTGTCTTTTACGTTTTAAGGGGGATGAGGAATCTTTAAAGAGTTTTAAGCAGGGAAAGTAACATGCTCACATTTATGTTTTATAAGAACCACTTTGGCTATCATGGAGAAAAAAAATTAGATGAGGAATATGGGGAGGACCAGTAAGGAGGCTGTTTCGGGTAAGAACGAAGGAAAGAACAGTCAGCACACAGACATAGACTGATTCCGTGTCAACAGCCATTCGAAGGTGGAGAGCAGCCAGCTGGATTTTGTGTATACCCTGCGGTCTCTGACATAAAACTCCACACTATAAAGATTATTTTCCCCCTCTTTATTAAGGCAATGGTAAATATGAATTTCAAAAAAAAAAAAATCTTCATCTGCTTCTGGCTCTGATAGACTACTTGTACTAAGAACAAGGATAAACGCTAGATCAAGACTTTAAAAACCTGTGAATGTTATCACCGAGTTACCCAAATAACTATCTTGGAATATAAGGTCCTGGAGAGAGGGTAAATGCAGAGACGTGAGCCCAATGTTTGGTGTTGCTTTTCCTCTTATGCTAATTCATAAGTAATAAAATAAGCCAATAGCCTGAAAAAGCAAATCTAACAGAAGTTTAACAGCCTATGGAGACAAAAACTAAAGTTTAGGGCCCTCTACAGAAAAGGAGTCTTAGTTAAGTAACCCAGGTTTTGAGACGGAACCCCTAGAGAGTTACACCCTAGGACAAGGGTTGGAAAATGACAGTCTGGAGATCAAAACTGGCTAATTGCCTGTTTCTATAAATAAAGCTTTATTGGAACACAGCCACGTTCATTAATTCACATTTTGTTTATAGATGCTTATGTATTATATTGACAGAGTTGAGTAGTTTCAACAGAGACTGTAGGCCCACAAAGCCTAAAGTATTTACTATCTGGAACTATGCCAACCCCTGCCCAGGGAAAAGGGTGAAGCAAAAATTGATCGGTCTTCATAAAGTCCAAAATCCCAATTCGAATTGGCTTGAGCAGAGAATAGCTTTTATCTGCCATTCTTTTGTCTTTGGGGTGCCAAAGTAAATCCTCCCAAGAGCAAAAGAATTTTGTCATCTCTGGTCTCATCATCTCTACATTTTTCATATACACTATTCAGCCACTCATAACAAATTACCAGTCATAAAGGAAACAGAACAAATGACTGGAAATTCTAGAAGAATAAACTCATGAGGAAAAGAGCAGAAACAGAATCAGAGGGGATTTCAAAAAATAGCTGAAGAATTACAACAGAGAATTAGAATCTGTAAGTAAAATAATCAAATAAAGTTTCAAAACTGTAAATTTAATAATTTAGAACTCAAATGTGTTTACAGCAGATTAGACTCCTGGGGAAAAGATTAGTGAAAAAGGAAAATAGGTCAGAAGAAAATAACCATACTGAAGCACGGAGAGAAAAAATGATGAAAAATACATAGAGGAGCTTAAGAGAGATAGAGAAATGGAGCAAAGTCTAATAGATAGGCGCTAGTTCCCCTTGGAGAGGAAAGAATGAAGCTGAAGCAGTATTTGAAAAGACAATGGGTATACTAATTTTTCAAAATTAATGAAAGACATTACTCAAACATTAAAGAAAAACTATGAGTCAGGCACAGTGGCTCACGCCTGTAATTCTGACACTTTAGGGGCTGAGGTGGGTAAATCATTTGAGGTCAGGAGTTCGACACCAGCCTGGCCAACATAGTGGAAATCCATCTCTACTAAAAATACAAAAACTAACCAGGCGTGATGGTGGGCGCCTGTAATCCCAGCTACTCAGGAAGCAACGCACAAGAAAAGCTTAAATGCAGGAGGCAGAGGTTACCGTTAGCTGAGATCATGCCACTGTCCTCCAGCCTGAGTGATACAGCCAGACTCAGTCTCAAAAAAAAAAAAAAAAATGAAAGAAAGAAAAAGGAAAAGGAAAACTATGAGCCCAAATCAGGATAAAGACAAAGACAAAAACCTCTAGATGCCTGATAGTAAAACTGCTAAAAAAAAAATTACAGAGAGGAAAAAAAAAATTAAAACACTCAGAGAAAAAAAGGGCCTTAGGCCGGGCAGCGGTGGCTCACGCCTGTAATCTCAGCACTTTGAGAGGCTGAGGCGGGTGGATCACGAGGTCAAGAGATCAAGACCATCCTGGTTAACATGGTGAAACCCCGTCTCTACTAAAAATACAAAAAATTAGCTGGGTGTGGTGGCGCACGCCTGTAGTCCCAGCTACTAGGGAGGCTGAGGCAGGAGAATTGCTTGAACCCAGGAGGCGGAAGTTGTGGTGAGCCTGAGATCGCGCCATTGCACTCCAGCCTGGGTAACAAGAGTGAAACTCCGTCTCAAAAAAAAAAAAAAAAGGGGGGGGGGGCTTTAAAAGTATGACTGAATTTTCAACTTAAATGATGAAAGTCTAAAGACAATAGAATTATATCTTCAAAGTGCTAATATAAAATAATTGCCCATCTAGAATTCTATACTGAGTGAAGACAAATTTTAAAAGAAGGCAAAATAAAGACATTTCAGAAAAAAATTTAAAAATCTCAAAAGTATATATCACAAAATCTACACCAAAAGAGAACGTTAAGGGAGAAGAACATTATTCCATAAAGGAATTAAAGAAATTCAGGAAGAAAAGCATGGGACAATGTAAATATGTACATAAGAATAAATCAACTTTCACTGTATAAAACAATTACAGTAATATTTTAAAGAGTTTAAAATTTAGTAATATTTTAAACAGTTTAAAATATTACACATGTATAATTAAAATACATTTTAATAGTAACAAATTGAGGAGGGGCTAAGTAGAGAGAGGGTGTTTTAGGTTCTTAGATTGTCAGGGAAATAATAAAATTATCAATTTACATGATATTTTAACTGTATGTTGTAATTGCTGTTGTAACCACTAAAAGAATATCAAAAATACTTATTTAGTATATAGTAGTAAAGAAATGAGAGGAAAAGAAGAAAATGTGAGACAAATAAGAAACAAACAGCAAAATAATAAATTTAAACCCAGATGTAATAGCAATTACGTTCAACATAAAGAGACGCAGCACTTTGATTAAAAGATATTATCAAACTGAATTTTAGAAACCAGAATGACAATATACTGTTTACCAGAGCACACCTTAATCACTGGAAGGTTGAAATTAAAAGGATAGAAAAAG